AACAAAAACTGCCATTGTATCCCTATTGCAATCATTGAATGCAGCTACTATAATGAAGATATATACAAGAATTCAAACTGCTTTTGTCCCATTTTACTGAAGAGGTGAAACATTGCTAAATGTATTGTATTGAAATTGTGTCCGAGAACTTATGTAACAATACTTCATAACAAGAAATAAAACACCATATGTAATGAAACACACTTTTCTGGTGGGGTATTCAGGAGCTCCTCGAGCTAAGCATTGATTCAAACATGCCTTATGGAGATACATCAGGCCTCGGAGATGAACTCGTGTACACCAGGAGCCTGGACCAGCATCTGGAGCTCTATATGAGGTGAGGGGGACCTTGGAAATCATTGATAAACTCAAAAGTAGAACAAAAATCATAAACATGATAAAACAAGGCGAAGACTGCATTTCAGAAAAGAATTAATATAATTATTAAGCAGCAGAAAGATTCAGCCAGGGCTTACCAATGGGAGAAGACAAAAGTAAGAGAGGTCAAGCATATCATCATTTACTGCCCTAAACACCCAAGTGCAAGTGCAGAGTGGCCAAGGAACATCCAATAGAGCATGGCCACCACCCTATTGAAATGCCAATTACTAAGAGCCTGGATATAAACCATAGACATATTGGCAAGGAAAGTCATCAAAGCAGTAAATTTGCAGATATGATGAGAATAAGGATATACAGCTGGATGGAGGAAGTGAACCACTTTACAGATGGCCTGGGAAAACTGAACCTTGGAACTAACAACACAAGCCAGCAGGAGGTAAAACAACAACAAAGACAGCCAAGGACACAGAGAGGCTATAGCAAGCATCAACTAATGAACAAGGAAGAGCCAGGAGAGAGACAAAAGTTATCAGCTGCCTGACTCCCATACATGTAGTAGTATACAAGACAAACTCCATACATGAAGATTGAAAAAGAGCCACGAACCATCCAGGTAGGTCATGATACAGATGTCCGATAGTAGATGGGGCCTCAGGAAGGACAGAGGGCTGAGACAGAGTTTCAGACCTAGGAGGTCTGAAAAACAGGTCTGAACCAATGTGATGGGATTCAAATAAAAAAATGATGCAGTCCTAAAAGAGCTGCAAAACCGATTAACATGGCACAAGTTGGAAGAGGTATAGACAAGGCCAATGACTTCAGTTCTGGCAAAAACCTCAGTTTGAGAATAGCACCACATACACTGAAAACCACCAAACTCCATACAGAGGCAAACACCTGTGGCCAGCCGAGCATCTTGCAAAGCCAGAGAAGAAAAAAAGATGCCTAGTCCACCAACCATTATGACGAGCACAAATGGAAGCAAGAGAGACTGCCGGTTAGAACATTTGACACACTCTTCCAATCTGAACTGCACTCAGGAGTAAATCTAAAGAAGCCAGAAGAATGGCTAACCCCAGAACCAAACCCTAAAAGGAAAAAAAACAGAATTGAATGTAATAAAACACCACTTTCTGGGTGAGACCCAGAGGCTCCTCGGAGCTTACTAGGCTGATATGGTAATGTCAGAATTTGGCATCAGTCACGTGCATGGAGTTCTGTGGGCCTACCAGGGACCACGAGCCAGAACCTAGCACCCTCAGAGAGGCATGGGGAGCAATGGCCTATAGAAACCCCCATGTGGTTGGAAGCATTCCCTGTCTGCCATCGACCGGGTCAGGCACCCAGAAAGGTAAGCATCCCAAAACAAACCCCCTATTCTGCTGAAAATATTGCTACCAAAAGCCGAACAAGTGGATAGAACCTCCTCTAAAAGAAACGAGCAAACAAGCATGATGTCATATGTCGCCGCACCGCTGTCTGCGCAGTTCCCCTCCTCCCCAGGAGGGGGAAGGGGGGGAGCCCTAGACCCCCCCACGCCGGCTATCCACCCGTCAGTTCTGAGGCTGGATGTCAAAAACATGTGAAAACCTGCCAACCGGAGGGAGGGAGGGATGCAGGGAAGCCTCCGGGTCTCACCCAGAAAATGAGGTTTCATTACATTCAACGCTGGTTTTCTGGAGGGAGCCCCTTCGAGCTAACTACCCCAGAGGAGCTAACTACCCACAGAGGAAAACATAGGGACATAGGGACCAGGATCCTGTTCGACCGCCAAAAGCCCAGTGCTTGAATGTCAGGCCAGGACATATAGTATTGCCAAAGATGGCAGCAAGAGCAGCAAACTTACGAACGTCATGGGCATGGGGATAGACCGTAGGTTGGCTAGCCTTAACAACTCTGCGAACGACATGGGAGACCCGCACCTGCGAACAAGGAAGAAGGGAAACCAGATCAACCCAAAGTGCGTCCCCCGAAACAGAAGCCGTGGCACACAAATAATGGCGAAGAGCTGCAACCAGATACAAAACATGATGCACACCCGGCCTGACCAACTAAGCATCAACAACCCAGGGACCCCTCCGGAAAGCACCAGTCTCTTTCTTCGCCAGAAAAGGAGGAAATGGCTGCAAATGAACACAACCATCACAAAGACCAAAGTAGCAGAAACCCTTACTCCGGAGGAGAGCATGAAGCTCCCCAACTCGACCCCCAGAGGCCAATGCCAACAAAAAAAGAGCCTTGGAGAAACAATCCTGAACCGAAGGGGCCACAATAAACCGAGGAGAAGAAAGAAAAGAGAGCACTCTGTCCAAAGACCAGGACAGCTCAGACGGTGCATGAGCAGGCCGGAGGTGAGACAAAGCACAAGACAGCTTGCGAAACGGCGCAGAAGTAACATCAATATCGAAAGCAAGCTGAAGCGGCTCCGCCAGTGCCGCACAATTTGAGGCAACAGTGTTAGGCATAAGGTGACGGTCCTGGAACAACCAAGTGACAAAGGACACCACCCTAACAGACAGCGAAGTACAACGACGAAGACACAAGACGAAATGGAAGGACCGCCAGGAAACTTCATACTGCCGCCGAGACAAAGCCCGCATGTGGGACACTAACAAGGAAGCCACATGATCACCATAGAGATGATAAACTTGAGTCAAAAGTACCATACGCGAAGGCTCGAGGAGAAGATCGAACCAGTCATGTGATGTTCCAGTCCGATCTGCTGGAAGAGGCGGAGCCACGGGAAAACCTCTGGGTTCAGACAAAGAGCAAGCACCACCTGAAACCACAGCTGGGCCGACCACCACGGGGCCAAGAGGACAACACTCCAAGCGAGTCAGGACCTGGAACAACAGCTGAACTGGGTAAAAGAGGTACAGGAACCCCCCATCGCAACCAGTCCTGCCGAAAGGCATCGATCATGACGGCCAGCAGTCGGGGAAGGGCGCCACATACAGGGGTGGATAGCCGGCGTGAGGGGTCTGGGACGTATGACGTCATGCTCGTTTTCTCGTATCTGTTAGAGGAGTTTCTATCGATTTGTTCGGCTTGTTGATAGCAATATTTTCACCAGAATAGGGGTTTGTTTTGAGATGCTTACCTTTCTGGGTGCCTGACTCGGTCGATGGCAGACATGAAATGCTTCCAACAACACGAGGGTTTCTATTGGCCATTGCTCCCCATGCCTCTGAGGGGGGCCAGATTCTGGCTCGTGGTCCCCGGTAGGCCCACAGAACTCCTTACACATGACTGATCCCAATGTCTGACATTAGCATATCAGTCTAGTAAGCTCCAGGGAGCCGAAGAGGCTCTCCCAGAAAAATGAATTAAACGTTCCCTGTTGAGATAATGGGCCACTGCAGAACAATCCAAATGAAGATAGAGAGTAGTGTAAACTGTGTCACTGTAGACGCTGTTGGTGAAGCACCATCTAGACTGCAACATATGCACAATGATATGCATTAACCACAGAAAGAAGACCACTGCCCTTGACTGACATGGCAAGAGCTGGAGATGAAGCCCCACCCGAGATCTGATATCTATGAACAACCAGAGTGATACAGGACGGCACCATGCAGCTAAACCATGAAAAAAAAAAAAAGTCAAATGAAAATGCAAGATGCAAGATATCCTTTAGATGAAAAAAGCCACGCACTGCTCAGTCCGAAACACAGGTAAATGTTATCCGCATGGCCCAGAGGATAAATCATATAGGCAAAATTCAGGGTACACTAAAGGCACAGAAGGTACCAATGGAAAAGTAAAGATCTCTCCCGCACTCACCCAAAGGCAGCAATGCAGCCTGAATGGGGCCAACTGCAGGAAAGAGAGTGAGGCTGTCTTGGTATCCCAGACTAATTTCATCTGAAGCAGAACCCGAAGTGACCTGGGCTGCCTACCTGGCAGCAGTCAAATGCAATACAGATGCAATGTTAACAATGCGGCAATGATAATTTGTCTTGTTCGGATACCACATATATTTCAAGCAGTAACTCGTTTTGTTGCTTTTATACTTTCTGGTTTTTCACAGTTTGTCTCTGACTCCCAAGCTCCCCATTCTTAGATAGAGCCAGATTCTGGTCCTGGCTTCAGTAGGCAAGAGTGGGTGTCAAGAGACCTAGCGCATCTTTCCAAGACATGGCTGCACCAGTGCATAGCTCATGGAGCAGCTGAGGGGAACCTCCCAGAAATTTTATTATCCAAGCAATATCTAAACAATATCCAAAAAATTCACAAAGATAAAAACAAAAAAACTTGTTTGCATAAGGCTGAAATAACACTTGTCTGTATATTAAAAAGTTCATACTAAGAATAAAAGTATAATATGAAATATACAAAAAATAGCAGAGCCCCCAAAATAATTTTCTTTAATTGATAATTAGAGGAGCCATACATTACTCATTTTAAGCACATCCCTTTTATTATAACTGAAATATTGCTTCAACAAAAAATAAAACATCTAAATTGTTTTGTAAGTTAGTATGTAAAAAATAAACAATAATATAATTTAAAATCTACCATAGTTTAATAATGAAAATTTACAGTAAAAACCAATAAAACATATTATCCCAAGGAATAATCACATAAAAAAATTTGTCAATGAAACCTAAATTTTATTAACTATTCCAGAAAGAATAAATACTGTTTAAAAAACTTACCTCCTTCGTCCTCTGACTCGCTCATGAAGGTTTCGTGCATGGTTTCTGGAACAACCACTTTGTACTTCTCCTCAGTAACTGTTGTGGTCGTTGTATTTATAGTGGTTTCTGTTACAATTTTCAATGTCTCGACTACCGATATGTAGCCGAGACGTTGTGCAATGCTGAGCGCCGTCTTGCCGTCCTGTGTCGGGAGACATTCCCTTAAAATACTATATATAGAAGAGTATACAGTACTGTAAATAATAGGAAACTTTAGTTTCCTTCTACATCAATTAAACGTACACATTATGTATCTTTCAAGAATAGGCTATTTACCAAGTAAACAATATTTTGCAAACACATGATTTTTCTGATAAATATGAAGTACAGTAGTATTAAAATCTCTACCACTGAGCACAATTTTAATTTGTCGAGCATATGAGTAACTCACGTTTGTTTCTGTGTTGGGTTCAGCCTTGTTCTCAAGAAGCAAGTTTACAATTTGGGTGTGTCCTTGTTGAGCTGCCTGGTGAAGTGGTGTGTATCTGTCAGAGAGAAGGAAATCATCCTTTAGCAGTATTTGTGCATTACATAAATGTCTAGTATAAATTAACACACCACCCAAAGTTTAGTTACTTAGTGAAGTAAACTTCAAGTGTTTTCAAATGGTTTTCAGTGTTTGTTTTGCTTTCTGTTTTCAGTGTTTGCAAACTGTGTTACACACAGTTTGCAAACACACACAAAAGCATACATTCAATCATGAATGTGGTATAAAAAATTTGTTATCATCTTATGACCAAAATCACGTTAAAACTTTTTATTTTGTACACACACAAACGGGTAGTGGTTTGAAAATGCCACAAAAATCAAAAATCAAATCCTTAGAATGAAAGATAATCACTATTCCCTTACAAGGGTAAGGGAATAGTGAAATTAACAGATTTTTCTTTATCTTTTATTTTCATGCCTTATCTACCAGCCAACTTAAAATTATTAATATATACATTTGTACTGTACAGTACACATATAAACAATATGTACACCTATGTTTCCAACTTCTCACAACAGAAAATAGTAATTATTCATTTCAATTCTAATCCTTAAACATGCCTATGCAAACATAGTAACCTAACTTATTTTTGACATGTGCTGGTCACTCTATCCACTTTCTTGGCTACAAAAAATATAAAACCAGCGTTGACTGTATTGAAACCCCATTTTGTGGGCGAGCCCCGGAGACTTCCTGGAGCTATCGGGCTAATATGCAATATATTAGACTAAGACAATAGTCAATGGAGTTCAGCCTACCAGGGACCACGAGCCAGAACCTGCCCCCCCCCCCCCCCCGCCCTCAGAGTGGCACAGGGAGCAATGGCCCCTAGAAAAACCCCTGTGGTGGGAAGACTTTCCTAATCTGCCATCGACCGGGGTCAGGCACCCAGAAAGGTAGGCATAACAAAACAGATCCCACATGTTAAGAAAATAACAACTGCAAACTCACAGATGCAGAACTCCCCCCAATTCCCAAGGAAACAAACAAGCAAACGTCACACACCGCTGCCGCGCTGCTCATCCGTGCAGCGCCCACCCTCCCTCCTAGGAGCCCCAGAACTTCCACACCAGCTACTCAGCAACCTCAGTTCGGTGGCTAGTCATAAAAAAACTGCGAAAACTGTTAACCGGAGTGAGGGAGGGTGTCAGGGAGCTTCCAAGGCTTACCCAGAAAATGGCGTTTCCTTACATTCAATGCTGGTTTTCTGTGGCGAGTCCCTTTGGCTCCCTGGAGCTACCTAATGAAAGATAAGGAAAAGGAACTTACCTGGGAGGTGGCCACCACTTGCTCCTCAACTCGAAGTCGAAACAACTAGCTCCAACCTGCGACCCAAAGCAACACACGAACGCCCAGAATCAGGAATGTTGACCAAATAATGGCCAAGACACTGTTCGACCTCCAAAAGCCCTGTGCCAGAATATCAGCCCAAGACATGTTGCCAAAAACAGCAGCCAAAGCAGCAAACTTTTGAATGTCATGGGTACAACGATAGACCACAGGCTGGCTAGACTTAACACTTTCGTTCGGGAGGGACCAATATGACGTCCGAAATTAACTCTGCGGATGTTCGGGAGGGACGTAGCCGACGTCCAAATTTAATCAATTTTACATTTTTTATCCGAACATTTTGGGACATGTTTTAAACTTTGCGCCAATGTCTTCCCATTTTCTGCTATGGGCCAAATGGCACTGAGGCACGGGTAGGCCCTGTAGGCCTCATTGTTTACATCTCCCTCATGAGCAGTGCCGCATTGTCTCGCATTTGACCTGTTTACGGCTATTTCCCCTTAATAACATTGGTTAGTATCTTTATACACTTTACATTTACTATGAGATGGATAGTAATCAAGAACAGGCATTCCAGGGCGAAAGCATGGAAAAAAAGACGTGAGATGGACAAGCTTTGTCATGTTCGCCAACAATACAGGGCTGTAAAACTCGCCCCAAGGAAAATACAGGCTGTAATTGGCAATTTTTCTGATTTAGAAATTGAAAGTAACGAAAGTGACTGAGTTTGTTGAAACTGAAACAGCAGGTGAGGATGAGATTGAAAGTGAGGGGAGTGATGACTTTGATGTTCATACCGCCACAGGCTCAAATGGTCATACCGCACCTAGGAAACGGCAACGTTCTGGTCAAGCCTGGTTCACTGACAACACTCCATCACTTGTAGAAAGTTTTACTGGAACACCAGGCTTGACTGTACCATTACCAATCACCTCTCTTGGATTTTTACAGTTATTTATTACACGAGATTTGTGACAATATTTTGTATACGAAACAAATTTGTATGCATCACAAAGCAACTGCAATACTTCTAGTACCCCAAGCAATAAGTGGGGATGAATTGAGTGTAAAAGAGCTTGCCAGATATTTGGAACTGACAATGTTGATGGGCATTATGAAGTTGCCAGCGATGAGAATGTACTGGCAAACAGGTAAAATGTGGCATGTACCTTGTTTCAATAATTTTATGACGTCAAAACAATATGAATTGATTGCAAGGTATTTTCAAACCTATGACAATAATGCCATTCCCAAAGACAATAAAGACAGACTAATCAAAGTTAGAACATTCATGGAATATCTAAAAAATAAATAAAAAAACATTCAAGTACATTCCGACGAAAAATCTGTGTTTGGATGAAGGTACAATGTCATTGAGGGGCCGGTTAGCTTTCAAGGTTTATAATCCAAATAAATCTGACAAGTATAAGTGAAGCTGTACATGCTAGCTAAATTAAAAGTGGTTACAGGTATGATTTTGAGGTGTATGCAGTAATTGGGATGACAACAATTGAAACAGTTATGGGTTTGATGGAAACAGTTATGGGTTTGATGGAACCACTAAAGAACAAAGGTTACCATTTATTTATGAATAACTACTATAACTCTGTTCAACTGAGTGAAAAGCTGCTTGAAGAAGGTGTATACACCTGTGGTACTCTCAGATTGCGTCTTGGTGCAACAAAAGATCTTCAGCTTCAAGCAAAGAGTAAACTGCCAGTAGATAAAACAGTATTCTGATGTAAAGACAATACTTTCATAATTCTGTGGAAAGGTAAGCGAGTTGTTTCACTCTTCACAACTTCCACAATGCAGATACACAACAAATGGAACGAAGGAAACATGTAGGCAAACCTGACAGAACATCTTCATTGCAACAGGTCACTGTAAACAAACCAAACGCAATCTGTGACTACAATAACATGAAAAGTGTTTATCACTTTGACCAAATCTTCAAATATCATTTCGCACGGAACTGTCACAAGTGGAAGAAGAAAATCACGTTCTACTTTATGCAAATGGCTATCCATAATGCTTTTGTGATATATCAGTACTACACAACCAATACAAAGAAACTCACATTGCTACAGTTCCATGAAGTCATCATTTGATCACTACTGAATTTTGACTAAGAAGTGGTCTTTCCAAAATGACAACATCAGACATGCTGGTGATGTACATGATGATGGTAGCACATCTACTGGTGACAATGTTGCAACACTCAGACCATCAGGTGTGAGGCGGCCACTATTCCCAGCTTCACCTCGACATGACAATTCATCATCTGACTCGGAAGACGAGTCAGATTATTCCTTCTGGTGCTGGTTGATACCTGGTTGATACCTGGTTCATGGGGTTCTGGGAGTTCTTCTACTCCCCAAGCCCAGCCCGAGGCCAGGCTTGACTTGTGAGAGTTTGGTCCACTAGGTTGTTCCTTGGAGCGGCCCGCAGGCCCACATACTCACCACAGCCCGGTTGACCCGGCACTCCTTGGAGGAATAAATCTAGTTTCCTCTTGAAGATGTCCACGGTTGTTCCGGCAATATTTCTTATGCTTGCTGGGAGGACGTTGAACAACCACTGATGTTTATACAGTGTTCTCTGGTTGTGATTATGGCACCTCTGCTCTTCACTGGTTCTATTCTGCATTTTCTTCCATATCGTTCACTCCAGTACGTTGTTATTTTACTGTGTAGATTTGGTACTTGGCCCTCCAGTATCTTCCATAATGCTTTTGTGCTATTGCTAGGAGAAACCCTTGTATTGTTGATAAACAAGAACATCTGAACAGGAACTTGAACCATTCCCTATTTCTCACCCAGAAAGGGCTGAAGTGTCGTGTTTGCTACAAAAATGGTAAAAGGAAGGACACCGAATATAAGTGCAAGTCATGTGGTGTGGCACTGTGTGCTGCACCATGCTCTGGCTTGTACCATCGCAAGAGGACATACTGGGTGGATAAGCAGTAATGCTTACCCACCATTCACTCCACCTATAAAACATCGGTTGAGCAACTTCAGGAAAGTTTCCTGGAGCAGGTAGATTGGTTCAGCCTAATGCTCAACTCATAGTCTACAATCATCATTGGGTGGTAAGTACAGCCTTTTTTTCTCCCCTGTAGAGCATTCTACTGCGAACAAATTGATACCAGAATGAATGATGTTACTGGAAAATTAATGCTATCAAACTAAAAAGATTATACACATTTGTGTGCAGATGTAGCGGATGTGCATATGGCGCTCGCTCACAGCAAATGCTTGGCTGACTTTTACCTTTGCTGGGGAAGGGGGTGTGCACTGGAATTTTACGCTTTATATGCATATACCCCTGTAGGAAATTCTATTGCAAACAAATTGATACCAAAAATGAACGACATAACACGAGAATTGAGGTGAGAATCCCAAAAAGAGTAGACACATTTTGGTGGGGTTACACACTCACAGGTAACCCTCAGCCGATTTGTGAGTTTGGTGCGATTGGCACGCCGGGCTGTTGGACTTTATACGTATATATTCCTGAAGGGAATTCTATTTGAACAAAAAGATACCAAAATAAACATTTGAATGAAATGAATGCAAATGAACAAACCGCCGACCAGAACCGAACGAGCAGAAACCCTTGCGCCGAAGGAGAGCACAAAGCTCACCAACCCGACCCCCAGAGGCCAATGCCAACAGAAAGACCCTTGGAAAAAATCTTGAACCA